TGATGGGAGTTGTGACGGCCGCCACTGATGTCGCGGATGTTATGGCGACCTGCTTTATGGAGGCGTCTGAAGAGCCAGGAAAGTCCTTGTGCCATGCAGGGGGTCACCAGGCATCCCACCGTCAGGGAGAAGAGACACAAGTTCATGGTTTCTTATCAAGGAAGAGGAGTGTGCACTTGAGAGTGAGTTGAGTGTGCGTCACCTGTCCGGCTAGTACTGACCTAATCACAGTCTCTGGTCTTATATATATGAGAGGACTGATCACGTGACGACGCCTAGCACCTGATCCACCTGTTACAGACGTTACGGGAAAAAAAAACATAATAGAAGATTTACGGAGGTCAACTTAGGTCAAAGTAGGTACGATGGGCGGGCAAGTCATAATCACTTGCCCGCCCCCTGGACACATAATCCTCTCACCTGTCCTGATTCCCCGTTCCTGTCCGCTGTGGATCCGAAAGAAACTAAGGGTAATGGATACAAGGAAGTGTACTATTTTTGCTGAAACGCACCACAGAAAATATCGCATTTAAACAAATTAACAAATATCTTAATTCATGAATCAACATAATCTCACTGATCTCACCGAAACATGATATTTGAATGATACCAAATTCTCATTCAGATAACATAAATATAGCTATTATACATAAACAACTATTTTCCTTTAACTGAAGATTAATTTTTCGATAAGCAGATAAAATTGTATGATGAAATGAATATCTCAGATTCACGACCTGATGTCAATTTTGTATACGTTTTAGACTTAATAAATGTCCCTTTAGATCAAAGTGCATAAAGTCACGTGCTGATTTCAATCACTTTCTAAGACAAGCCTGAAAATAGAGCAAGGAGATATGATAAATTATAAGAGTGCATGGTACCTCTGCTTACACATGCCATTTCCTGACCCCGTGCTGAAGTGGCATGTCAGTGTTCATCTAAGCAGGTAATCTCTCTATGGTAACTATTTAACTATTCTACATTCGTATGCCTGGTGTGCATGATAAGGAAACTATATGTATGCCTGACAGTGTTTTATTCATGGGATAATTTGGAGGTCATGATATCCTAAATGAATGAATGTACACGGAATCATTCAAACGGTAGCACGCTTCATACAAACAGAAATCATCATATATTCATATTAGTTATAGGCTAATTCTCAAAAGAGTCTTGGATAGGGGAGCTTAATCCGGTCAAGGGGTGGGGCAGCAATTATGACTTGCCCGCCCATTGTACCTACTTTGACCCGAGATGCCCTGCAAGTAACCCAAAGACGGGATTATGTGACCGCTTTTCTCGCCTTGAACAAAAGATTCTAAAAGAATTTTAGTTAGTTAAACCCACTTTTTATTCTATACTCATGTGATCATACACATCATGGGCTCTTACGACCACAGGCCCAACAGCCTAAGGGTCTACACACCCGTTCATGACAAGTATGCCTGCTGTCTCTTTCCTGTTCCTTCGACTCTGTTGGTCATTGTATAGTTAAGGAACGGCATGCACATTCGGTGACAAATGGTGACTACTGAAAGTCTGCCATTTTATGATTACATTTACCATGAATGATAGTGTTGAGATTGTTTCCATTTTTGGTTACATCAACATATATATATATATATTCATATCTGTATTTGTGCCTATGCACTCATCATTTATGTAATTAGCTATTAATTTTGCAAGATAAAACAACTGTAAACTTTAGACTTTTAATTTGATTTTTAAGGCTTTACGGACGTAGTTCATCTTTATTGGGTACGTTTGATAATGACGGATGATTAAATTCAGACAGACGGAATATAAGGTAAGGTTTATTAGCTTATATAAAATACATTGCTGACTAGAAGTTCATCTGGGATAAATATATTGAGAACACAATCGACTCCTGACATGTCAGTCGACGCGGTGCGAGGGCGCTGCGCAGCGCATGTCCTCGTACGCCGACATGAGGGCCATGAGCTGGTGCCTGGAAGGAGGCTGTTGAGCCGTGTATTTGCACACAAGGCCGCTCTCGCACGGACAAAGCTGGTTCATGGAGTAGTCGAGGCCGCCCTCAGGGACGTAGCACTTGTGGCCCAACGGCACACGCCGCTGACACACCTGCTCTCCATGGCGACGGGCGCAGCACATCCCTGCTCCACAATCCCGCTCCTTGCGGCACCTGGCGCCCTCACGCCCACGCTTGATGCGCTTTTGGCACAGGCCGAACATGCAGTCGTATCCGCCCTCACACATGGCGTCCCGACGACACTCGTGTCCCTCCGTCACGTGGTCCCGACACACGCCGTAGTGCTGGTCGCAGAACTGGCCGCGCCCACACACGCGGTCGTTGGTGCACAGACGCTGCAAAACAAAGGATATCATTAGATCTGGTAACATCTTTCACCAGTACATAATCTTTTACATATATGTTTTCTTATATACGAAAGGAATTAATGTAGAAAGCTGTACTTACCAAGTGTTTGTAGGAGTCGAAGGGTTGATCTGTCATCAGTTGATGGGAGTTGTGTCGGCCGCCACTGAGGTCGCGGATGTTATGGCGACCTGCTTTATGGAGGCGTCTGAAGAGCCAGGAAAGTCCTTGTGCCATGCAGGGGGTCACCAGGCACCCCACCGTCAGGAAGAAGAGACACAAGTTCATGGTTTCTTATCAAGGAAGAGGAGTGTGCACTTGAGAGTGAGTTGAGTGTGCGTCACCTGTCTGGCTAGTACTGACCTGGTCACAGTCTCTGGCCTCATATGTATGAGAGGACTGATCACGTGACGTCGCTTAGCACCTGATCCACCTGTTATAGACATTACGGGAAAAACATTACAGAAGATTTACGGAGGTCAACTTAGGTCAAAGTAGGTACGATGGGCGGGCAAGTCATAATCACTTGCCCGCCCCCTGGACACATAATCCTCTCACCTGTCCTGATTCCCCCTTCCTGTCCGTTGTGGATCCGAAATGTAAGGATAATGGATACAAGGAAGTGTACTGTTTTTAATGAAACGCATCACAGAAACAATCACATTTAAAGAAATGAGCATATATCTTAATTTAGGAATCAACACAAGGAAACTATATGTATGGCTGGCAGTGTTTTATTTATGGGATAATCTGGTCATGATATCCTAAATGAATGGATATGCCACCATAGAAACGATAGTGCACTTCATACAAACAAGAAATCATATGAATATTCATATTAGCTATAGGATCTAATTATCAAGAGTCTTGGATAGGGGAGTTTAATCCGGTCAAGGGGTGGGGCAGCAATTAAGACTTGCCCGCCCATCGTACCTACTTTGACCCGAGATGCCCTGCAAGTAACCCAAAGCCGGGATTATGTGACCGCTTTTCTCGCCTTGAAAAAAAGATTCTAAAATAATTCTAGTTAGTTAAACCCACATTTTTATTCACTACTCGTGTGATCGTACACATCGTGGCCTCTTACGACCACTGGCCCAACAGCCCAAGGGTCTACACACCTGTTCATGACAAGCATGCCTGCTGCTCCTTCCCTGTTCCTTCGACTCAGTGTTGTTCACTGAATAGTTAAGGAACGGAAATGCACATTCGGTGGAGCACCGGCACTGTAGAATCCAATATTTACGTTTAACATGCATTTATTCAATATAACATTCAACGAGAATACAAAAAGACTAATAAGATTTAAACTAAATCCATTGAGAATTCACAAGCACCTGATGGAGATTTACGGGTGTGTATGAACAATCAGTGGAGAGATATTTTATCAACGCTGCCACAAATAAATCGATGAATATATAGATAAATAAATAAATGGATAAACATATGAATATGTAGATAGATAAGTATATATATATATATATATATATATATATATATATATATATATACGTGTTTATGTATGTATTCACATATGCATATAGTGTGTGTGTGTGTGTGTGTGTGTGTGTGTGTGTGTGTGTGTGTGTGTGTGTGTGTATATATATTATATATATTATATATATATATATATATATATATATATATTATATATATATATATATACACACATATATATGATATATAAATGTGTGTGTACATGTGGAAATGAGACGTCTCCGTTTAGAACACCCGTGAACACCAAACAGATGGCCTGGATTGTCGAAACCTGTCACTTGCAATGTAGAGGCGATGCTGATTACAGCACAACTCTTTGGGGGTGAAAATGCGCTTTGTCCTTTTGCCTCGCCAATTGGACTATTTTAGTAGCCTTAGTTTTCCATTATATTGGACGTTTTTAGTATTGACTGATATCGTTGCTGCTCCTATTATTATATTAACTATTATCACTTCAATTCGGTTATCATTATTATGCCACTTAAAGAGCAACATTTTACAACAAGTCTAGGATGAGACAAAAACAATTAGTACAGTAGACAGGTATAAAAAAATCTGCAGCATATTTCCAAGGTCCCATTTTTATTAGAAATATACAGGAGACAGCCCCATAATATGTTCCATTCGAGTTAAATACAGGAACCAAAAAAATATTTTGTTCGTATATACATTTTTCCCCTTTCCTTTGATTTTTTTTTTTTTTTTTTGTGATTTAAGTGAGAGGTTCTGATGTCTACAGTAAGTTTGACATTCTAAAATAACATTTACCATTAATACTGATGTTGACATTACCTTTTTTATATGAATCTATCTATATATCTATATATCTATACTCACCATTTATCTAATTATTTATTCATTTGTTTATCTGTTCATTTAGCTTGATAAGTTATAGTCTATAAAGCTGTTAATATTGGGATCTTAATCCGATTTAACTCAATGATTTTTTTCGAATTGTTACGTCTGATGTCTTTTAGTGAGACATTTTTTAGGGTTTTACCGTACCTACTGACCTAGTTTATCTGCACTGTGTAGGTCTAATATTGAGGGAGGGTTGAATTCAGACAGTTCGGAAAATTAGATAAAGATTATTAACTTATGCGAGATAGATTGACGACTAGAATTTAATCTGGGATAAGTACAGTGAAAACATTATCAACTGCTTTCATGTCAGTCGACGCGGTGCGAGGGCGCTGCGCAGCGCATGTCCTCGTGCGCCGACATGAGGGCCATGAGCTGGTGCCTGGAAGGAGGCTGTTGAGCCGTGTATTTGCACACAAGGCCGCTCTCGCACGGACAAAGCTGGTTCATGGAGTAGTCGAGGCCGCCCTCAGGGACGTAGCACTTGTGGCCCAACGGCACACGCCGCTGACACACCTGCTCTCCATGGCGACGGGCGCAGCACATCCCTGCTCCACAATCCCGCTCCTTGCGGCACCTGGCGCCCTCACGCCCACGCTTGATGCGCTTTTGGCACAGGCCGAACATGCAGGCGTATCCGCCCTCACACATGGCGTCCCGACGACACTCGTGTCCCTCCGTCACGTGGTCCCGACACACGCCGTAGTGCTGGTCGCAGAACTGGCCGCGCCCACACACGCGATCGTTGGTGCACAGACGCTGCAAAACAAAGGATATCATTAGATCTGTTCACATTTTCAATACTATGCAACCCTTTACTTATATCCTTTAACGAACCAAGTGCTCATAGAAATTGAAGCGTGGATCTTTCATCACTTAATTAAGGTATCTAGTTAGATATGGTAACATCTTCCACCAGTGGGTAACCTTTGCACTTATATATCTGCTTAAATACGAATGGAATCATTGTACTTGTAGAAAGTTGTACTTACCAGGTGTTCATAGAAGTTGAAGGGTTGATCTGCTGTCACTTGATGGGATGTGTGTCGGCCGCCACTGAGGTCGCGATGTTATGGCGACCTGTTTTATGGAGGCGTCTGAAGAGCCAGGAAAGTCCTTGTGCCATGCAGGGGGTCACCAGGCACCCCACCGTCAGGAAGAAAGAGACACAAGTTCATGGTTCTTATCAAGGAAGAGGAGTGTGCACTTGAGAGTGAGTTGAGTATGTGTCACCTGTACGTCTAGTAACTGACCTGGATCAGAATCTCCGCTNCGTTTACATTGATATCTATCTATCTACAAATAAATCGAAGAAGTAGGCAGTGGGAATCCATTTGGGCCAACTCTAGCTGAAATTTTTCATTGTTATAATGAAAGTTTTGGTTTGAAAATTGTAGTAAAAATCGAAAGCCGTCAACTATTACAGATACTTCATTCTTATTACATCTAAAAAAGTCAGAGTTCTTTGAATATCGCCCAATAACCAACACGCTAAATTCACAAGTGATATTGAAATAATTGTTATTTCTCTCCCTTAGATATTAACATTTCAAGAGATAAGAATTCTTTTGCATCCTCAGTTTATGGAAAACCAACTTACACTGGTCTAACCACAAAATTAAACTCCAACATACCAGTAAAATATAAAGGGAATTTGATATTAACTTTAATCTCTAGAGCTTTCAAAAATTTCAAAGACTATTTGAGTCTCTCTAAAGAAGTTGACTTCATTACCAATATGTTAAGAAAGAACAATTTCCTCATCAATATCATCAAACGTAACATTAAAAAAGCCTTAACAGATCCTCATTAACCCCTTTTAACTGTTCCCAAACGTTTGATATATGTAAAACTACCTTACCTTGGGACTATTAGCAACAACTTTGTATGAAAAAAATATCACAATATAATTGAAACACATAATCCCAAAGACAACCTTAAGAATGTACATAGAACCCCACAACACTGGCAATTTATTGAAATTCAAAGACAGAATCATCAAATTTATATCTATAATTTCTTGTACAATAGCTACAAGGCTACTTACATAGGGAATACATACACACACAACACACACACACACACACACACACACACACACACACACACACACACACACACACACACACACACACACACACACACACACACACACACACACACACACACACACACACACACACACACACACACACACACACACACACACACACATACACACACACACACACACACACACACACACACACACCACACACCACACACACACACACACACACACACACACACACAGCACACACACACACACACACACACACACACACACAAGTCGTAAACATTAAGTAAGAAAATAATTTAATTATCTAAGACAAGTAAAACAGATGATAAACGATAGTAAAAAATAAACAAAATATTTTTTTTTAGCTAATATAAGAATTAATAACGTAAAATACGAAGTAAATCTTAAAACAAGTGGAGGGGCACTTATTATTGAAAATCAGTCTTTGAAGACTGTTAATTTGAATAAATAATAGATAAGAAATAAAACAGAAAAATCTTCAAAACATTTGATAAAAGATTGAACGATGAGTAAAAAGTCCGAAAGGTGTTCGAAGCACGAGGAAACTCGGGAAACATGTTTTATATGAATTTTATGATAGTTTTATTTATATACAATTCTATTCCTGGCAGCAATATATTGTGGGTGTAAGTTTAAGGAAAAGGACGAAAAGGAGAGAAATAAACGTAAGCCAAGAGATGGAAATGAAAGAAATGAAGTAAGAAACTACCGAAGGAAAGGAAAAATAGTAGAAAACGAGGAAGAAATAAGTATGGAGGGGAAAATAATAGAAAGTGAAAAAGAAAATAGGGAAAAATGAAGGTGAACGAAAGAAGTGAACGAGGAAGGTGAAAACGAGGGAAAATAGGTAGAAGAGAAGAGAGATTGCGAAAGGAGTAGATAGATGGCAGGTTTCAGAGAAGGTAAATGAGAGGGAGAGAGAGAGAGAGAGAGAGAGAGAGAGAGAGCAGAGAGAGAGAGAGAGAGAGAGAGAGAGAGAGAGAGAGAGAGAGAGAGAGAGAGAGAGAGAGAGAGAAGAGCAGAAGTGCGGAGTGGAAAAGGTGGTAAAGGGGAGACTGCAGTAAAAGGGAGGTGCAGGGTAGACTTAGGAAACAAGGGTAAGGAGAAGGAGAAGGTCACGAACCTCAGAAATATACGCGAAGACTGAGGAGAGAAAGAGAGAGAATTAGAGTGTGTGAGAGAGAGGGGGTGGGGCAGAGACATAGAAAGAGAAGGCTATTTTTCAAAATACAAATAATCCACATAATTTCACAGGAAAAGGATGCCCTTAGGTTCGCGATGCCGTAAAATCACTAATCTCAATTTAGATGCTGCACCACTTAGGCCACGTGCAGACACCCATAAGATTTATCACAGTTCTTCAGAGATTTCTTGCTAGAAAGCAGTA